ATGAAGTTTGTTGATAAAGTGTCGTCACTGAAAGAGTGGGAGTGATCGTCATGATGTTTGTAGATAAAGTGTCATCACTGAAAGAGAGAGGAATTGTCGTCATGATGTTTGTAGATAAAGTGTCGTCACTGAAAGAGGGGGAGTGATAGTCCTGAAGTTTGTAGATAAAGTGTCGTCACTGCAGCTGAGAGGAATTGTCATCATGAAGTTTGTTGATAAAGTGTCGTCACTGAAAGAGTGGGAGTGATCGTCATGATGTTTGTAGATAAAGTGTCATCACTGAAAGAGTGGGAGTGATAGTCATGAAGTTTGTAGATAAAGTGTCGTCACTGCAGCTGAGAGGAATTGTCATCATGAAGTTTGTTGATAAAGTGTCGTCACTGAAAGAGTGGGAGTGATCGTCATGATGTTTGTAGACAAAGTGTCATCACTGAAAGAGTGGGAGTGATAGTCATGAAGTTTGTAGATAAAGTGTCGTCACTGCAACTGAGAGGAATTGTCATCATGAAGTTTGTTGATAAAGTGTCGTCACTGAAAGAGTGGGAGTGATCGTCATGATGTTTGTAGATAAAGTGTCATCACTGAAAGAGAGAGGAAGTGTCGTCATGATGTTTGTAGATAAAGTGTCATCACTGAAAGAGTGGGAGTGATCGTCATGATGTTTGTAGATAAAGTGTCATCACTGAAAGAGTGGGAGTGATCGTCATGAAGTTTGTAGATAAAGTGTCATCACTGAAAGAGAGAGAGGAATTGTCGTCATGATGTTTGTAGATAAAGTGTCATCACTGAAAGAGAGAGGAATTGTCGTCATGATGTTTGTAGATAAAGTGTCATCACTCAAAAGAGAGAGAGGAATTGTCGTCATGGTGTTTGTAGATAAAGTGTCATCACTGAAAGAGAGAGAGGAATTGTCGTCATGATGTTTGTAGATAAAGTGTCATCACTGAAAGAGTGGGAGTGATCGTCATGATGTTTGTAGATAAATTCATACGACAGCACAGGAAGTTTTTTGAAAATAATTATTTGAAGAGTATGAACCGAATGTCTTTAGTATTTATCTGTGTAGTCAATTAATACATGCCTTGTTACAGTTTATGTTTTGTACAAACATTTCTATCTGTTGTCTTAGTTACTTGTTACGAAAGTTTTAAGTATACCTTGTTATAGTTGACGTAACTTTTCTTTGTGCTTTACCGAATTATTTTACAGATAATTGAGTCTGTTTTATTTCTTATAACCATTATAATTAATTATAATTTCTCATAACTATTGTTGAATTTTTATAACTCGTTTTGACATCTGAACTCGCACACAGGAATGTCCCATCAACTGTAATGGAGATGCTGTCCCATTTGCCACAAGGCCAAAGGTCGCGGACACAACATCGGCCGCTTGGTTTGACCACTTCTCTCAGTAGAACAGGGAAGGGTAAATATTTGGATTCTTTTAAATTATTCGTGACTGTTGTAGTTTCTCTATGAGAGCACCCGAGATAATCCGTGACTTGTAGATTTAACGTCGCAAAAATAGCCGGAGAAATGTGTGAATTTGAGCAGATGGTCATAACAGTATGAATTACAGTGATGGCCGCGTGACGTGCTGTTTGTAAGTTGTGTTCTAACGTGAACCGGTTCTGTTTCAGTATCAAAATAAATCGCTCTACCTCCGTGATAGCCGCGTGACATGCTGTTTGTATGTTATTCCACATAACTCACGTGCTTTGATCATTTTTCTGAGGAAGCGATCTCAGTTATCTCGCCCTAGAACCTGCTCTCGGATGCCGCACGTTCCTTCGCCTCCCCGTGAAAGCTGCCGTCTTTAGGAACGCGAAGAACGTGTGTTGAGGTAACACCGTCCAAGAAAAGCTGCTAATAGGGCTGGGTTTTGGATGTGCGGTATTCAGACAGTAGGTATGATGGATTTTCTGCGACTGTAACGTGATGCTTTTAGTTACATCCAGCGTGACTTGTATTCATTTTTTGGTCGTCATTACACGACGGGTTGTTCATTTGCAGTTTTAAACCAGATAACAACGATTTATCTCAGTCTAAAGGTGACGTCACTCAGATGGCCTGTCGCACATAAAACTACTAGTAAAAACCCCATTTAGAGAATTCTAATTTTATAATGAAGGGAATTTAAAAATCAAAATTTTTATCATGACCACCTAGAACGTGTGCATTCGTTATTACTTGTTCGCGTACTTCTAGCCTAACCAAAGAAGGCACATAAAAGTATCTTGTGCTAACAGCTGTTCCTCTCCAGGATTTTTTTTTTCTTTACGAAAGAAATGTATTAAAACTTTTTGATGATCAACTGTAAACCTGAATTAGAGATAACGCTTTCAAAAAACCATAGGAGAATTATAAAATGTTCGTTAATTCAGCTATAAATCGGTTGGTGGTATCAGATAGACCAGGCCCTCAATAAATACCACGCACTGATCAACTAAAGACCAGCTCACCAAAATGATTCCTAGCCCACGTATCACGTTAATTCAGCTATAAACCAGGGCCCTGATCCAGCACAACTTATTAATAAGGGCTGCTATTGGTCAGTATAAATATTTAACAACATAAAAAATACACCTTATAGCTTGTTTGTACTCGTGGTAACTGACAGGTTTCTACATATATAAATTATAAAATGCAGGCAACATTTTAGTGCACACCTTAAATGCATTGAAAAGTGTTTTTAAGATATTTTAATTTTTTTTATAGATGATGATATGGAATTACTCTCTGGGGGATCCTCACTATTTTCTCGTGTTATTAGTTCCAACCACACTGTGTCGGGAGGATTATCCGTTTCCCCACTAACACGAGCAGATCAGCAGCCAAGTCCAGGGGTTCAACCGTATCCGGGCAACATGTGTAGTTACGAGCCTTCCTATGACAATTACATGTATCAGATAAAAACAAGAAGCTGTCCTTACACGCGTCCACCAGCAGTGCATATTCCTGGCTACTCTTCGACACAAAGTTACAGCGCCCTCTACCATTCTAGACCAAGACAAAGTAATTATGACTTCGCATCTAGTTGAATTTCATGAGCCAGATAGTGGGTTGAGACTCGTAAAGACAATGAAACCGTGATATTCGCTTGAAAGAAACAGTAAACGCTTAACCCTTGTCGTTTGTAAATATCGAGTCAATTTCCTAGTTAAATATTTAGTAAGTTGGCTTCGCTAGAGTATCTTTCGTTTGTATTAATAATAAATACAATCTTTTATCGAGATTTTGTTTTTCTTGAAAGGTTTGATGTTTCTCACTCCCTTGCTGTTACAAAGAAAGTTTCATCGAGAGATTTCTCTGCTGCTTAGATTTGTTCCATGTTTAATTTTTAGTCATTGAGTTTAATCATTAAATACATTATATATAACTCTAAAGATAAGAGCTGAATAAAATTATTTTTGTGCTGAAAATTATCAGTTTCTTATTATTTAATGTTGGTGTATAAAACTTGGTGTGTGAGAGAATGTTTCACAGTTCTTGTGTATCTCAACTGGTTGAAATTAAAGAACTACCGAGTAGAAATATTTCACAAAAACATTGTTACTAAGTGTCTGATGTGTATAGAAACGTTTCATAAGTCTGGTGTGTATAGAAACGTTTCATAAGTCTGGTGTGTATAGAAACGTTTCATAAGTCTGGTGTGTATAGAAACGTTTCTATACACACCAGAGTTGTGAAACGTTTCTATACACACCAGAGTTGTCAAACGTTTCTATACACACCAGAGTTGTGAAACGTTCCTATACACACCAGACTTGTGGAACGATTCTATACACACCAGAGTAGTGAAACGTTCCTATACACACCAGAGTTGTGAAACGTTTCTATACACACCAGAGTTGTCAAACGTTTCTATACACACCAGAGTTGTGAAACGTTCCTATACACACCAGGCTTGTGGAACGATTCTATACACACCAGAGTTGTCAAACGTTTCTATACACACCAGAGTTGTCAAACGTTTCTATACACACCAGAGTTGTCAAACGTTTCTATACACACCAGAGTTGTGAAACGTTTCTATACACACCAGAGTTGTGAAACGTTTCTATGCACACCAGAGTTGTGAAACGTTCCTATACACACCAGAGTAGTGAAACGTTCCTATGCACACCAGAGTTGTGAAACGTTTCTATGCACACCAGAGTTGTGAAACGTTCCTATACACACCGGAGTTGTGAAACGTTCCTATACACACCAGACTTGTGGGGCGTTTCTATACACAACAGACTTGTGGAAGGAACCGTTTCACAACTCTGGTGTGTATAGGAACGTTTCACAACTCTGGTGTGTATAGGAACGTTTCACAACTGTGGTGTATATAGAAACGTTTCACTACTCTGGTGTGTATAGAATGGTTCCACAACTCTGGTGTGTATAGGAACGTTTCACAACTCTGGTGTGTATAGGAACGTTTCACAGTCTGGTGTGTATAGAAACGTTTCTACTACT